GCTGGTGGGTTCGTCCCCGTGTCCCGGAGCGCGCTGCTGCAGGCTTCGGCTCGGACAGGTGCGCGTGCCGCGGTCTCGCTGCCACAACGGGACGCCTGTGGGGTCCGCTCTCCCGCTCCGTTGGCAGGAGAGGAGGCACAGCCCACCGCTGACCAGGCAGATACACAGATTCACTCGTCCTTCAGATTGTGCTGTGTGCTGGTTTCCGCAGGGCTCTGAGCCATGTGTTGTTACCAAAGGTCTTCCTTTTCCAGGGCAACCTGTGTCCTTGCCTCACAGTGAGGCTAAGAACCCCGTTGCAATGCCACCATGGACACAACCCAATATAACGACACGCATCAAGACCGTGCAGGAAAGAGCATGTCCACAGAGACACTGTTACTGAGCTGCACCTGCAGAAAGTCCTCGTCAGCTCTCAGCTCTTAAAGGTGTCTTTCAGCTGCTTGCTCTTGCCCTGGGGGCCTGCTCGTCTCCCCGATCCTCTGTGTGCAGTGGTGTCAGTGACCTGCGGCAGCATCTTCTCACTCTGCAGTTCACCTCTTATTGTCCGGCAGTGGCAACGCCTAGCGGGAGCGTCTGCCCGGCACTGGCACAGTGGTCAGGGTTCTTGTTAAACTCCCAGCTCCTGCCAGCCCAGCAGCTGACAGAATCCCACCGCTCTGACTCTCCGCCAGCTGGGGACTCCCACCTGCATACAAACACAACCGGCCCTGTGAACTGCAGCCCAGTGTTCTCCCGCTGAGTGTGAGAACAGAAGAGGAGAGAGGAGAGGCCTGAGCCCTGAGCAGACGTGCAGCAGTGGGAGGCTTCTGGAGTTCTAGACAGCATGTTTTTTATTTCCTTTTCCACTGAGCTGGTTTATCAGACAGCATCAGCTCCAGCCTGCAGGCCAGGTAGCCTAGTTCTGTCAGCTGTGCTGCTGTTTCTCTAGATGACTAGGTGGCCGAGCCATTTCTTTGGCGTTGCTGTGAAAACAAGGCCCCGATGCTCTCTAGCAGGATCCACTGTGTCTTTCCAGCTCGCTCCCGGCTCTCGCCGAGAGAGAGAGCGAGCGAGCGGCGCTCGGCTAGCCGGGCTGGCGTGAAAAGATTGCACGCGCGCCCGCACAGAAAACGAAAACGATATGCAGAGCAGCAGCCGGGATTTTTCATCATGATTCTTTGCTGTTATTTCCCGTCTCGTGACAACACTTCCAGACTGAAAGCCTCTGCTGGCGGCGTGAGTTAGTCATCGCCGGGCAGCTCCGCAGAGCGCACTCAGGAATGGGCTCAGTTTCGCTCACGATGACTCAGTTGCGCTTTTGCTCAGCCGGCGTAGAGATATTAAGCCTCGCCCGATCCTGTCAATGAGAGAGGCAGTTTTCTCTCTGCCAGTCATTCCTGGAGGGCCGTGTGCGTGGGCCGCCAGTGACGGCGCCGATGAATGAGCCGGGCCCTGTTTGTGTTTGCGGGCGGAGAGGCCGCGCCCAGCGGGGTGAAGGTGGCGTCCGGCCGCGAAACCTCAGCACCAGGGAGGTGACAGCGGAAGAGGGAGGCGCCCTGGCACCTCCAGCGGAGCGTCGGGGCTCCCCTTAGTCGCCCTGTGGATGCATCTGGGAGAATGGCCAGGAGGTGCGCCCCAGGAGAGGAGGGCAGGAAAGGGGGACCTCCCTCCAGCTGAGCTACAGAAGGGGACAGTGTGTGAGGGGGTGAGCTTGGCTTCACCAGGTAGACCCTGAGCAGGTGTGTTCAGCCCCGGCCTTTTCCCCTCTGGGTGTCAGGGCAGCTCAGTGACAGGCCGCTGAGTGGACAACACCTGGGCACCCGTCTGACCAGCACCCACAGGTCCCTCAGTGTCCTGCTCTGGACAGGGCTCTCATTAGCACCCTCCTGTGCCTTCTGGTCCTGGGACCCCGCTGGGGTAGCACTGTGGGTCCTCAGGAGTCTTAAATATCTGAAGGAAATATCTGAAACCTGCGGTGGACTGGCATCTCACCCAGGGCGTATCCTGCCTTGTGGGGTCAGCTCCGGCTCCCCACAACCCTGTACTGGACCAGCGGGTCAGAAGATGGATGGACAGGTGGATGGATGACCTAAATGTGACCCGTTCCCGGCCGAATGACCTCTTTTAAACTTCTTGGTCCATGACACACCATTCCCTGCGGGAAGGGCTCTGCTTGCTTTTCTTTTCAGTTTTCGGGACTTACTTGCTGAGCTGTACACGGAGGTCCAGTTTCTTTGGGAGCTGCTTTCTTCTTCCAGGCTCTGTGCTCCTGTGCCGGACTGAGCTGCTCGGATGTAGCAGGCTAGGCTCGGGCCTGCCCCAGTGCGTTGAGTGAATGGTTCAGTGGTGTGTGAGTTTCTCCCGGGAACGTCCAGGTCAATGACACGGATATTAAGAACGTGGGGAAGATCACAAAGAAAGAAGCCCCGTGTAACGGCTTCGACAACATGGTTGGGCAGCGTGTCCCACAGCTCATTGTTTAAAAAGTGCCTCCTGTTTTGAAAACACTTCCACTTCCTGTGTGCTCTGGTCCACATTCCACCGTTGAGTCTGAAGAAAGCCACTGTGCTGGTTTTGTCAGTGACGTTGAGGATTGTGAGTACTTGTATCGGGTCTCCTCGCAGTCTTCTCCATTCAAGAGTACAATCCAAGATTCCAGAACAGCAGTATCACTTTGATCTAATATTACATATTGGTATTCCATCTAATTGGATCCATGATTCCTAATCAGACATGCTGTAATGGGACCTGAGTTGGATGGGTTTTTTGGGGTTGTGAAGAAGAGTGGGGTCCCCTACAGTCTACAGCAACCCTGGGCTGCAGTTTCTTGTGACTAAGACGTCTGCAGGCCTTCTGGGAATCACGTACCAAAGCCCATCTCTCAGGCACTTAGGATTTCTTACTGCTTTATTGCATGTTGTGAAATATATATCACAGTATATCCTGAAAGACCTGCTGGCTTTCATCCCTGCTCAGCTTAATTACTTAATTGAAACCTTAACTGAACTGACACGTTGTTTGGTTAGAACAACTACTCCAGGATTTTCTACTCCAGCATTTGGGATTGCATGGTATTTATGAAATGCGATAATTAGGCAACCTTCTACATGTTTAGGAACTGAAAACAGTTGAACAGTTCACAGTAATGCTATTAATGAGTCAATGAAGGGTCTAATTGTAGAACTGGGCACTGGGCGGGAACAGGAGCCAGCAGGTGTCTGTACCCCCAGGACCAGAACTGGGTGCCCCTGGGCTAAGGGTCCTTATTGTGAATGAGAATCTGTTCTCATTTGCCTTAATTAAATATAGCACTGAGTTGAAAAAAAAGATTATTCTTACTAACGGTATGCAGCATTCCTGTCTGCATCTAGTGTTGTTCTCGTTTGGTACCGTCAGCTCTGTTTGAAAGGCGCTGTGAGAAATAAAATAGCATTCCCTGCCAAATAACTGAGGTCTGACATCAGCCTCCTCCACATGCTGTGGATTCTTGCACATGGGTTTGCTCTTCAGATACGATCTTAATTACATCTTTTTTTAACCCTTGCGAAAAAAGCAAATCTGTATCTTGCGTGGCATTGTCGAAAAAAAAAAACTAACCGTTCAAGTGGGAAGGATGTTGTTCTCTTACAAGGAACAGAAGGCTTGGGTGCCGTACTGATGTGACATTTGAAACCGCAACACTCCATTCGATAAGGTTAACAAGCTGTGAACTGTTTCTCCAGAACAATACACACAAAACCTCATGCACACGCATGCACACACACACACACGCACACACACACACACACACACAAACACACACACACACAAACACACACACACACACACACACACACACACACACACACACACACACACACACACAAGCTTTCCCTGCTCAGAACTGGGGGAAGAGAGAGAAGGATTGATGGGATTCTAGCCAGCAGGGCCTGGTACCTGCCTGGAGGAATCCAGGACACTGGACTGGAATCTCCAGGGCCCCTCTGTGAGCTGAAGTGCACATGGGAAGGGTTGTATCACTTCATACACCACTATACTAGGCGGTTGAAATATGAGTGTAAATACTAAGACCTTCACAGCAGCTCTGTAGAGCTGTTCGGTAGTCAAGTGATCTGATGTGCCAGTTTGGCGTGGACCTGAGTGGTGTCAAGGGCCAAGGGCCGGGGACAGCGGAACCCCTCCCTACGGCCACCAGATGAACTGATGGGGAAGGGGCTTGTATTTCTACTGCAACTTAGTTGTGGGCGGGTATGGAGTTTGTCTCCTCTCCTGAACTGTCTGGTTTGAAGGACCAGTAGTGACCAGTAGTGGACCCGATTCCCGTGGGTCGTGGGTTGGAATCCCAGCGGGAAGCTGTGCTGCAGTACCCTGGAGCGAGATGCTGTGTCCAGACCGCCCCCGTGTGTATGTAAAAAACACATCGGTCCATTGAAAACCCCTGAAAGATGCTCTGGATTAAACTGTTGGACGGATTATTATTTAACATGAATTAGAAATAATAATAAATAGAACAGAATGTTAGTGGAGCATGATTGGTGAATGAAGCTGTTAGCTGATTTGAGATCAAGCTGTTCTGCTGTACAGAGCCCAGCTAGGACCTGTCTTACTGACACCCAGGAGGCTCAAACACAGGGATTTCTAACAAGGGCCAAGATGGAAAACTTAGGCACTCAGATGTCAGAACTGGGTAGACAACGAATTCTACATGTTCGTTTATATTATTGTATATTTATCGTAATACATGTATCTTTGTATTTATTATTTGTGTTGTTTTATCTTGTAAATCAAGTGAGAATAAATTCTCATTTGCAGTGATGACCTGGAGACCCATCGACACAGCTGAGCCTTTTGTAGCGTGATCAGATCGAATGACCACACCTGACTGTAAACCCACAGCCCTCTGGCCAGGACTCCCTTATGAGAGATAATATGAGCTCAACGAAACACTCAGCAGCCTGAGACTGAATTTGAATCCCTGCAGCTCTTACACTTTTTTTCCTCACCTGAGCTCAGAATATTCCAGGGCCGATCAAAGTCAGGTAAAACTACAAAGAATTAAGCACTGATCTCCTGTATACTGTACCCACAAAAGCCCATGGGTTCGTGAGCTGCTGTCTGGGGTTTGGAGCCAGGCTCTGTGTTGGCTGCAGTGCTCTGCTGGCCGTGTGCACGCTGGCTCGAGGGCTCAGTGCCGGACCCGTGCAGCCTGATTGAAGAGACAGGGGAGAGCCTGAGGGGTGTTTCCTCAGGGCCGGGAAATACTGGAAACGTGTCTTACCTGCCAGACTGAAAAGGCCCTGGTATCCAGAGGGCACTGGCTATTAGATTTTCCCAAATTTAGGCTTATTGAAAACAAAGCAGCATCCCAAGACCCCTGGCCTGGAGCGTGCTTGCGCGTCTGACAGCGAGGCGTTTCCTTCGTGCAGCAGCAGCTGCGAAGCCACAGGCTCTGGCGTTCTCTTCATTTCCTCCAGATATTACATTTCTGATTTTTTCTCTCCACTGGACAACGAAAAAGACCAAGGAATAGGCTAACCTTTTCACAACTAAACGTTTTTTTTAACGTGAGGCAGGGTTGTTTTTCTTTTTTTTTTTTTCTTCTTCTTGAAATGCAGTGAAAAAGGTTAAAAACCACAACTTTTTTAGTACGCCTTTTTTCTTTCTTTCTGTGCTGGATTCCTGTTTCCTGTGCTGGGGTGAAATGCGTGTGTGTGTGGGGCTGGGTTTTTTGGGGGATGGGGGGGGTGTCGTAGTGGAGGAGGGGGGAGAGAGAGAGAGAGAGGACTTTCAGCAACATGAAGCCAAGAAAGTTATTTTTCAGGCAAGTGCCTGAAGTGCACTTTGTCAGTAGGCCTGGGTGTGTTCTCTCGCCTTCCTTCCAGCTCTCCTCCTGCAGTGCGCACCCCAGCTCACCAAGAGCACCCCAGGGTGCCACACCCAGCGGGCAGCAAGCTCTCTCTCACCGCCCTCCCCTCGCGCCCTCAGCGCCGCAGGGGCATCTCTCTGAGGGCAGGTGCGATCTGGGAACACTGGGACGGAACAGTGCTGTCGCCCGTGGCACAGAAATGCTCTGCGTGTTTAGGAAAGGCAGCTTCAAGAACAGAAGCAGGCCCGGCCGTGCCAGCTGCTTGGGTGCAGGGGGGAGGTAATTAGGTTACAGGCTTTCAGCTTCTTGAAGTTCCTGGCCTGTGTGTCTGTCTGGGTGTGGGGGTATTTGCAACACGTTTTACAAAATGCCTTTGAACTCTCAGTGGTTTCGAGTCTTGTATCTTTCCAATACAACAAGTGTCAAACACATGCTGTAGGGAGTAGGATTAAGCCAATAAGACCAGACTGGGCACATTCCCAATGCCAAGAATTGGTCATAGGTTCTTTCATGATCAAAAAATCAGTTTAATATCTGAGGACAGAACCTCTTACAACACATTGTCTCCAGTCACCACAATGATGCCTTAGATTGAAAATTCCTGACCAGAGGGAACAGCGCCACCTACTGGTCCACCAGCACCTCTTACATCAGCAGCCTGGTTTTCCCAGGTTTCGCCCCTCAGTGCTGACCAGGCCCAGCCTTGCCTATCTTCTGCAATCTGACAGCCTCTGTCTAGAACACTGTGCCTTAAAAGGCAAGTATATGTATCTCCATCTTGAGAATCACTCTTGAAAGGTCTGTATTTTCCATTTTGCACGGACATTTGAATCTGTTGTTCTATAGGTGAGAGTTTGTCAGTAACAGTAGTAAAAAGCAAAACAAAAAAAAACCCTGCAGCACACTGTTTTTTTTTTTAAAAAAACATACTATGAAAGCATTAAGGGGGAAAAAAACCCAATAATGCACTAATATAATAAGTACATTTAAAATCTGCAGGCACAGCTTGGTTCCTTTTCCCACAATGTGTTCAAATCTGCAGTGCCCAGTTATTAATCACTGCCAGCCTGAGGTGCTGGTCAGGCGTGCAGATCAGTGCCTAGTGGTTAAATCAGGTCACCCAGTCAGTCACTGACTAAACTGGACTTGGCACCGGTCATCCGGAATAGGATTCTCCAAGCTGCAGCGATCCTCGTGCTGCTGGATCTGGAGCCAGGCGATGACTCCCGGGCCTGTATAGCTGGCCAGGTGTCTGTGTGTGGGAGCTGCACCCTCCCCTGTCTGAGGCCTCCTCTGCCGTTCGCTCACTGCAAGACAAAGAAGGAGACGGTAGCACAGCAGTCTGGGACAAGGCTTGGCATTCATGGGCTGTAACAAAAAAGCCCAATGAAACACTGTCAGATTCCTTTTCCTAAAGGATCGCTCAGCCCCTGAAACCTGGGAGCTGTCATTTTAAAACTCTACCAGGAGACTTGCTGACATGTGCCTACTTATATGGGCAAAGCTACCTGTATTTATGATTCAATTAATTTCAGATTCATCCCTTACTGTTAAACTACCTGTTAAACAAAAATCTTAGTAGGCCAACCACATACAGACTGAAAAGACTGAATTCTGACGGCCAGAAGGTGCTTTCTCACCTCTTCACGGTGCTTTAAGAAAAACGTGCAGGCTGCAATGAAAGAGCAAGGCAGCCTAACTGAAGCCGTAATGTACAGGTGTTCGACGGGCGCTGTCGTGGGACAGCTGTCGGCTTAAACCCTCTTCAAGGGGATTATTCAGAGCGTACATCAGCTGCTGCCCAAAAGACACATCACGCGGACAGCAACACACGCAGCAGCGTCTGCAAAAGTGACTCAATTAACAAACAGGAAAGTGCAGAGAACATAAAAATCTTCCTTTCAGGTTTCGAAGGTGAAGAACTGTGTACAGGAATTCCCCCAAGAGCGAAATTGTTTGTGTTTTAGACACTCACTTCAAAACGCCTCAGACAGATCAAGACAGAGCAAGAGCTCTTTTTACACTTTGGTCACATTTCACTGGTGGTTTCGCTTTCAGCTCCCTTTCAGCTGAGGGGAAAAAAGCAGCTTTTTGTTGTTGTGCTCATTATCGTCTCCTAGAGTGACGGAGGGCTGTGTGAAACTCGGGGTTTGTAGGGTTAACCTCCTGGGCTGAGCTTGACTGTCAGAGTGAGACAGTGGCCATCCGTCCTCCCAGGCGCATCGGGATCATTCCATCTCCTAAAAGGCTTTTATCTGAACTATTTCAATAATATTCTTGGTGTAGAGTGTACACACTGCTGGGCTATAATTCTGCATTTTTCACTTTTTCACTGTGTTTCCTTTTAGTGATGCTGTTTCATGCTAATTCTGATTGCTGTGTGTTCTGTAGCAGCTCTGTGAATGTGTACTGCGGAACAACTGATATGAATAACGTGCTCAATGAGCCAATTGGATCTGATTGGTAAATGTGATGGATTAATTACTACAACACTTCATATTGGCTGCTCATGTATAGTTGGCCTTAAGCTCTTGTGATCAGTAAGAGTTAAAAATGCTGAATGACAGAATCATTTTGTTCCCACCTAGACTAAGATGGATTAATATCTAACTAACGTCAAAATACAAGTAAGGCTTAGACTAATGCAGCCAGCTGCAGCAGGACTGTTAATGCCAGTTTAAAGCTGAAGGGTTTGGTGGTGGCATGAGGCTTGGTCAGGAAATGAATTCTTGATGATTTCAAAAGAGCAAGGGTGTTCTGGCTCAATTCCACCCTGAGCTTGTACACACTGACCTCTCTAAGCCCCCCTGTACCCAGCTGGTGCTGCAGTTTCTCAGTCCTCCCCCTAGCTTTCTGTGCAGTGGGGCTGCAGGTGCAGAATGGCTGTGGACTGTCACCCAGGTGGGTGTGTATGTCTCTGTAGGTGAATCGCGTAAGAAAACAGAGAGACAAAAAGCACCTTGCAATTACAGTTAATTTTTTTTTAATCTGCAAAGGTAGGAAAGCCTTTTGAATGTGTGATATGGCTCAATTGTGAACTGTATAAGGAGCTCAGTTTTGGAAGAGCCTGTCAGACATGTAGCATTTGAAGACGGTGGAATAGAAACAGAGGTTTTTGTGACACTTGTAAGCTCTGTTCTCCTCTGATGCTTTTCTGCTTTTTCAGTCAACCTGTCCTGCCCCCCCAACCCCTTCTGAGCTCAGACACGTCTCTGAAGCAGCTGCGTGTCTGTACTGTACAGCAGCTGTGTGTCTGTGTGTCTCCAGTGCTGATCTGCACACTTCACCGCAGTCTTGGAATGCACCTGTGTACGACCGCAGGGCCCTGCTCACCCTAAAGATGTGGGCTCCTCGCTGCTACAGTGTTTTGATACCTTTCATGTTACGCTCGAGCGTGCACCCAGTAGGAAAAAACACTGCGCCTCTGAGTGGCATCTTAAAATGGCAAGAAAAGGCTGCCCTGACGTCTGAGGACATCGCTCTGGGCGGTCTCCCGCAGGTCTCCTCCGTCTCCCCTCCTGCGTGGTCCGTGTTCCCGGTTGTCTGGGGGTCCGGGCCCTATCTGACTGGGCTTGAAGAAAGTCTAGTACTCTGTGGCGTCAGGGAGAGAGGAAACGCCAGCATCGATCAGGGAGGAGAGGCGAGGAAGGCTGAGGCAAGAACAAATACGGTATAACCCTGCAGAGAGACTCCATTACAGTATCATCTCCCACAGTCCGGCTGGTCTGAAGCATGGTGACCCTCAAGGTATTCTGTAGCCGTGAAGAACTGAACAAGATGAGCTGAGCTATGTTCCTCGGCACAGACTGGGCCCTGCAGCTCCAGAGTTGCTGGTTGAAGACTGGGTTCGTTTTTTTGAGCCGAATCTAACGGGCCGATAGGCACTGGGGCTTGTGTGGACATGAAGCGGCCAGGGGAGACGTGTGAGCCTACAGCGTTCCCCAGAAAGACACCTCCCAGTGTCTGCTGCAGCCGTGCAGCTCACAGGGCAGAAGAGCAGGAAGTCGGGCCTTTCGAGTCGACAGCCAGCACGATCAGATTGCACGGCATCTGAACTAAAGCAGACTGAAAGTTCAAATGTATATATCAGGAATCCACTCAGACAGCGTTGTTCCAAACCCTCAGTGCGCTCTGACGGTTCATTTGCAGAGTTCATTTGCAGAATTAAAGGAACATCTGTACCTGCCCGGGGACTGGGAAGCCTCTTTCTTAGCAGCCTGATCCATTTCAGGTTTCACCAGTGCAGGCTCACCCATGTGTGGTACTGTTGAAGGCTGCTTTCAGAGTCTGCTGGACTCCTTGCATTCTGCCTGTGTAGATCCTGACTCAAACTGCTGAGCTCCTCCTGTGAGGAGCACCGTTCTGTTTCGTGATTAAGGACTGTATTTTCAGGGAAGGCACCAGCCAATAGTGTTTACTTACTTTTCCTGCAGTTTGCACCCATGGCTGCGTATGTCAGGCCAGTTTCAGTGGGTGCATTCGCTGCTGTGGGTACGAGAGCTGACGTTTTCTGTTGCCACAGTCAGGCTGACCAGCAGTGTCTGTTGAAGCAATCAATTGAGAAGACAGACTTTCAGAGCTTTTGAATGCACTTCAGGTTTAAGTCCATTTTTCTCTTCCCAAATACTTGCCAAATATAAATTTCCAAAACAAAATTTAAGCAGAAGATTTCTTTTTCCTCATCTCTTGCTGTCCTTTGGTATTTTCTGTACCGGTAAACTTGGGAAATATTGTTGTTCTGAGTCAAAAGCATCAGACACCACCTCTCAGTTCTACTGAGCGAAACTGAGGGTCGGGTTTTTATTTCCTGCGTTGCAGGGATGCCGGGCAGTGAAAGCAAGACGCAGAGCAGCGCGGCGGCCAGCAGGGGGTGTCAGCAGCAGAACGAGAGGCCGGAGCCGCCTTCCCAGACTCCTCCTCAATCCTCTGGACGGAGCCCCCCACAGCACCAGGCTCAAGCTAGCCAAGCTAGCCAAGCTAGCGCTGGCCAGGTAATGATGAAGAAGAATGTGGAATTTAGCAGGTGTGGGAGAGGTGACTGTGCTCTCACTGCGGGTGATGTCTATGTCTGCAGCTGCTGTAGAGTCAGCAGTAACAGGGCCTTGGTCTTTCAAACACCTGGCAGATGGAGCTCAAGCTGATCACTGTAACTTCCTGATGGCGACATAGAGACAGAGATCTTGAACTGGGACCCTAATGCCAGCAAGTCCTTCTCTTCTTCATCGTGTAGACGGAGCAAAGCAGGTGTCCGAAAAGCTTCTTGATCTGAGGCCGCACCGGCTCCGGGCACAGGCTGAGCTACCTACGCACTGCCGGTGTCACGGGTTCGAACCTGGGCCGTGTCATTGATCACCCAAGCAGCCGTGCTCCACTGACTCCACCTTCTCCAGTTTGGCAAGCTGGGGCTCTCTTGCCAAGTTGGCAATCAGCACGCAGGCCCCTGGCGCCGCCAGTGAGGGCCGGAAACCTGCAGCCTGCCACATGCAGCTGAGCGGGGTCTGAGGGGTCTTCCCGTGCAGGGGGCTCTGCCACAGGCCAGTGGGGACCCCCGCACAGTATTAAAGCCCATGGGGGAGCATAAGAAATCACAGAGGAAAAACAAGATTCCTGTTGTCTCATATTGTCTGCAATCCTGGTTCCCAGCCCCAGATTAATTCCTGCCTTTCCATCTGCACCGGCAGGGGGCGTTTCCAGTCCTGCTCGGGCCCAGAGGACCCCTCATCAGCTCGGCCCAGCTTCAGGCCCTCTTCCTCCAGCAGGTGGGTTCCCCCTCTGCGCCACCCTCTGGCCGGGGCTGGAGCGGAGACGATTCGCGCGGCAGCCCTCCGCCGCGCCAGGCTGGGCGCCCTGAGGCTTTCCGGGTTTTGCGATCAGGAGTGAAGTCCGTCTGTCGAATCCATAAAAGTTTATTTCCAGCTGAGCCTGAGCTCAGGACTGGTAATAAAACTACGGGGGCAGGGGCTACTGGGGTGCTCATGGTCTGGAACGTGAGCAGGGCCTGGTCTGGACGTCAGCCCCTTTGTGTCTCCCCGGCGTTTGGACAGTAACTCTGTAAATGCAGTAGGATGGGTAGCTGTTCTGTGAAAAAAGAAACAGAATTTCTTATCTGTTGTTATATCTTCCATCTTTAAAAAAAAAAACACTGTTGTAGAGCGCAGTTACGAAGTGAGTGCATCACAAACAGACGCACATGCTTTTTGGGGACAGTCTTTGGGATTCTGCAGCAGGCTTCTGCTAGTTTGATTTCCTTGAGGACCAAAGCCACAGGTGTGAGACCACTGTTTCTCTGCTGCTTAACTGCATTCAAACTCTCTCCAGGCTGATCTGCCGCAAAGCTTTGAAACAGCCCCCTCTGTTGGAAATGTGTCACAACAGCAGCTGAGCGAGGAGGTGGCTGTGATGTCATTGTGCTAGCGGCTTGCTGGCAGGTGGGCCAGAAACCATTAGAAGTGATCCCATATCCAGTATCCAGTCACATAGATATGAGATTGATCACATCAATCATTGAGGTAAAGATTGAGAGGCATAGTACAGCAATAAATGTAATAGTAATAAGCCTTTATCTTGCCCTGTATCTGTACTAACTTCTTGTCTTTCTGATCATACACTAAACTACGGTCTGGATCACTGTGTACAGAGCACATTTTAACGGACATGCTGTTTTTGTAGGCCTCACTGCATTAAGACAATGGCTAAGGCTTCAGACCCGCAATCTTTGTCAGGCTGATGCTTAGCCAGCATGAAACATGAGCTTTTGGTTAGAACGTGGGAATCACTGGCTGTCCCTCAAGGTCGAGGACGATAATCTTCCTTCAGTACAAAGGGTATTGGGGGTTTGGTGAGGCGTGGCTCTGTGACAAACTCGTACGTACCGTAGCTATAAATCTGGCCCGTGTTTCTCTGTTGTACTGTTGGGTAGTGACCTGTTTCCTGACCCTCCTTCCCCTCCCCACACATACGTACCTTCTTCAGCGTGCACCAGCTGGGGCTTGGCTCTCAAGTGCTGCGAGATCCACAATGTGCTGAAAGGTGCTCTATACTGTAGGTGTACAGTAAATCCTGTCTTTCAGTATGCCAACGAGGAAGTGGGCAAGCAGCTGCTGCAGCTGGTCTCACTCAACCCCCTCCAGTTTGGGCAGCACAGACCTTCAGTCCTGCGAAGGGGTGGTCATCTGGTCCCCCAAGGTCAGTAGCATCGCGAGACTGGTCCGAGCTGCTCCCCTGCCCTGCCTGGGCTCACGGCGCCATGCGACGAACAGCACAGGTTCTCTTGAACTGCAAAAAAACACATCTTTATCAGAATGCTCCTCCTCGCTTGAGTTCTTCAAGCTGCTCCTCACTCTCCTCAGCCCTGAGCTTTAAATCAGTGCTGCCAGTGATTTTTCCCCTCTTTTGATCCTTCTTGGAGCTGTAAATGAGAAGCTATGAACAGTTTAAACAGTTCTTACTTTTTGCTCTCGCACAGCCAGTGCAGTGTTACAGTCAGTTTGATATCTAATTCTGGTGAAAAGTGAATGCAAAATTGTGAGTCTTCTTCCTCAGATGGAGCAAGGCAGTATTGTTGTCCATTTTCCTCCCTGCGTGACTCTGGTGTCTCTGCAGCCCTGTCCAGCCTCTCCAGCCTGGCTGCGCCGCTGTCTGGTGTAAACCCCGCCCCCAAATCTGACTCCGTCCCAGAGTGCAAGGTGGAGGCCAATGGGAACCTTGCTGTACCCTCCCACCGGCAGACAAGCTCCTCCCCACAGCACACAAGCACCTCCCCCCAGCCCAGGAAGACGAGCCCTCCTGTGAAGCTTGGCTCAACACTAAACAGCAGAAATGACGGGTGAGTGTCCTGTTCTTGACTAGATTGTGGCAGAAAGCCCTACAAAAATATAGCGCACCTACAGCCCTGGATCCCCTTATGAAATAAATAAATTGAAAATCAAGAAGTAAGATTGCTTTAATAAAGATATAGTGACAGTTTTCTTGATTTCAGACTTTTCTGGTCATTTCTTGGAAATATTACTATATTCATTTCTTTTTTATTAGAAAATGGGCTACGCTACACAGTCTCTCTGTTGTAAGAATGTGTGCAGCCTCGGGGTCAACAACTCTCCATGTGGTTTACATTGTAACTCTCTAATGTATCTAGCTTTCAGTGCTTTGATGGAGCAGGATAGAGCAGGAGCAGGATAGAGCAGGATAGAGCAGGAGCAGGATAGAGCAGGCAGGGACACAAGCTCCCACTGCATAGCAGAGTCATCATTTCAGGACTTCCACATAAGGGGTAAAGCTTGAAATATACTGCATCTATGCACGTAGTCTGCCGCCCATAGCAACTGAGGTGGACCTAACAGCCACGCAGTAGGAGCTCCATCTGATCCACCAGCAAGAAACTGAGCTAGAAGACTCCCTCCTGTCACTGCTGTCCCTCTCTTTTTAAACGGGAGCCCCATCATGCACACCTCCCCGCGGACACCGGTGGTGGTGTGCTGACCCTGCCTGGCGCAGACTTCACAGGCATCAGCACCGACCGGTGCGGTCACTCACAGTACAGGGTGCTCCTCCTAACCACGGCTGTTCCAGCCCACAGACAAACCTCTCAGCTCACCCGGATGTCCTCTCTCCCCTAGTCCTGTGCAGCAGGTGCCAGAGAGCTCCAAGACGCTGTTTGTGAACGGGGTGTGCAAGTGGCCGGGCTGTGAGGAGCTGTTTGAGGAATACTCACTCTTTCTTCAGTAAGTATGAGGCCAGCACACACCCCCTCTGACCACTGTCTCACTTCCAGTGTGACCAGCTGCCACGGCAGGTTCGCTCTGGAGATCCAGGGAATGTCCCATTACTGTTGTTAATATTATTATTATTATTCCATAATCGGCTTTGCTTAGAAAAATGGGGCTGTGAGCCCGTAGGGAATTATGACACGCTCACAGTCCAGACGTGATTTGCTGAGGATCAGTCTGGCATCAGTGTCGTTTTGAAGAATCTGTCTGAATAAATCGAGTTGACGTGAGACACGGTCTTTCAGCGCAGGAAGCAGATATGGTGACGACAGAGAAACACACCTGTGCACCTTGGCGTTAGTGTTAATTCCTCATGTCCGTGTGGCTGCTCACGGGATCATTTGCCTTATCTGGCTCAAGATGTTTTCTACCTAAAACCTCCTTTCATAGCAGTGCTGAAGCCAGTGGTTTCAGGGACCACAGAGGAATTTCATCGCTTTCTCGTCTAGTGTTCAAACTCATGTGCCAATGTCATGTGTTAGGGAAGATTGTTACACAGTCCTCTTGGGAACCCTGAGCTGCACATGTGAGGTTAACGGAATACTGAACAAGTGCCAGCAGTCTTCTTATCTCCAGGCACTGTCAAGTTCACCCCTGTTCACAGAGCTCTCAGATCTTACCCCACCCTCATCAGCTGTTTCCTCAAGCCCTGGTCTAGCAGGCTAGTCCAGCTCAACATGAAGCCATCCTGTGATGAAGATCAGGGAGAACTGTAGCAGGTTATCTCTTCAGTTCAGGCTGTAACTTGACCAGGAGAACCTGCCAGGCTGTAGCTGTCCAGGCGCAGGGACAGCCCAGGTGGCGCAGGGCTCCTGGCTCATGGGCTCATCACTGGCTCAATTCTAGGCACCTGTACAGTGACCACAGTCCTGGGGAGAAGAGCATGGCGCAGTGGAGAGTGCAGAAGCAGGTGGTTCTGCAGATGGAGAACCAGGTCAGTTGCTGCCCAGCCGTCCGCTTGATGTGAACAGAGCTCTGGAGCCACTTGTGCTTGGATAAGGCCTGCCCAGTTATTGGACTGTCCCACATTCCACAGGATATGTAGCTCTCACTGCTGAAGTGTAATAACTCAGTCCAGTTTAGCTATATTTTACAGCCTTCTTAAGTCTGCTGTGGCCATCGACAGCAAAGAATGCATAGAACATTAACCAGCTCCAGCCTACATACACACATCACCGCCACCCTCATATCAGATGAGCCAATACCAGTGGAAACCATAAGGAGGTGCATTTAAAACTCATACCTGGATGCAGTTTCACACAAAGGGTGGTGGGGGTGTGGAACAAGCTGTCTATCCATGCTGATAGCTTATTTCAGGATATAGCTGGAGATCCTTGGTTTTTTTTTCCATCTCTGTCCCCAGCCTCCTCCTTATAGCCCCGTCAGGTTGTAGAAATGTGGCTCTGGCCTGGGGTCTTTGACCTGGTCTCCTGACCTGGCTTGAGCAAATTTTGTACAGGCACCTGGTATTGCACACAACACCACAGCAATAGCTGAAAGTCAGGACAATATCATCAAGAATAGCTGCTGGACCATAAGTAGAATGTGGACTCTTAAACCCCCATTCATGTAATAACATGGCTGGACTCAGACTATAAAAACCTCTGTAACTCTGTTGCAATCGGGGCACTGTGGGAAATACAGTACACCTCATGTGTGTCTCCTTCGGTGTTCTCCGGAAGCGTCTATTTTCATTACAATTAAACTCGTCTCAGACCTTCACTGGTCTGCACTGTGACTGCTTGCATCCCTACAACGTGAAGAGATTCAGACACACCTGCAACCTGCAGGCAGTCTGAGTCCCTTGATTTCAGATCTGATGATTTCAGATAGAGCTGAGCTCTATCCCTGAGTGCAACAAGCCTTCCCATTCACCACGAGAGCAAATTCACAAACTGAATGCGAACTAGGAGCAGACTGGGTAATGCAGCAGAGGGCTAACGACTGGACCAATCTGTGTTGTGTTCCCAGCTCGCAGTGGAGAAACAGCGATTAGTGGCCATGCAACTCCACCTTCAGCTGTGTGACCAGCGCTCCGCTGGCTCGGTGAGTGCTCTGTACACACAGCGTCAGGCCCTGCTAGCACGAGTTCACACACGCCGGAGCAGTAGCTCATGTTGAGGTTGAGAAGGTAGTGTCTTACCCTGTCGGCGCTGCCTGTGGGTTGATCCCTTGGGTAATGTTTAAAGCAGCAGTACAGCTTATCTGCATCTGATGCGTTCATACAATTACTGTGTTAAATAAAAATGAAAGCAATCTTTTCACTTATGTCTACAGTGATTTAGGAAACACTTGAATTGATTTGGTGTCATGACAGCAGGAGGCATCCTTCTCGAAAAACACTCAAGCGTTTCTGAAACCAGTCCCTCAAGCCCATGGCGGTGAGCTCGGTGAATCCGAGTCTGTGGCTGAGGGGGGCTGGGGGCCTCGTCATGGTGGCGGGGTGTGGAAGTGAACGGGCTTGTGTTTGGCTCTTTCAGAAAGCGCTGGAGCTGTCTGAGGGGCCTCACAACTACACTCTGACTCTCCCACAGCCACGCCTCCTGGAGGGCTCCCCCACGGGCTCCAAAGACACCCCAGAACTGGTCCGACCAGGGTACTGGCACGTGCCCAGTTCACATCTCATGCCAGGTAATGTCTGAGCACGGGCTACGCTGACACTTTGCCCGAGCGTCAACGCAGCCCTGGTGAAAACCTGGTAAAAATGTGCAACGTAGAAAACGTTTCTCCTCTGCTACCAGACCAGATACAGGGCATGTGCCTTCTGCCAGCTCCTCTTCCTGCACGGTCTGCAGCAGCTGCCTCTGTGCTGATTGAGGGTGAGCTCTCCAGGCAGGAGCTGCTCTGTTGGATCACATTAACAAGGAGCAAGGACCAGGATCTCATTGCCCTGTAGTCTGATCTGTGCCAGATCATACCAACAGAAACGCACTGGCCGGCTTCAATAAAGAAGCAAGCTTGAAGATGTGCCAGAGAGGTATCTGATCCAGAGTGCCTATCTGTGGCTCTCTGAGGCTCTGTGAGCTGTGGAAGTGGGTTACTAGAGTGAGTTTTATTGGCCAGCTTGCTGATGTGGCTTCATATCAGACAACAGCCAAAGCCACAGGAGGAGTTATTTACTATGACATATCCCCCTGATGCTGGTACTGTAATGGATTTACTGCATTTAAATGTATACATTTTGTTTTACAGAAATTGTCCCCAGCATTGAATATTACAAGTATACCAACATCAGACCTCCATACACCTACGCCTCTCTGATTAGATGGGTGAGCACTAGTAATTGTATTTATTATAATATAGGAATCGTATTTCCTTATTTGCATGTTTAGTTGGAACAGTTGTAGCTAAACACATCAATTAGCATGGCAACACTGTTTATCTTGGGGTGGGGCAGAGAGAAAACAACACTGACTTTCTGTAACACTGAGCTTCTGAGTGTACAGTACCACACAATAACACAATTCAGCACAATTCAGTCAACGCACACACAAGAGCATGCTGTCCTTGCATAGTGAGACAGGACACATAGCACAGCATCTTTCAAAGACTCCTGAGCTAACAGCCTTATTCAAATTCCCAAAGTGATTTAACCTAACTGAACTTAACCAGATGCTTGTAGCTCACCAATGCCTGCAGAAAGATGCAAGAGGAAACACAATTACAGCAATAAAAAGAAAATAACATTATTTATTTTCATTTTCATTTTAGTTTCAATTCTCATACAAATACCACTCCAGTACAACACACACAGCGAGCACAGCTCAGTGCCCTGATCACTTCCCTGATCAGCCAGGTGCCGTCTGTTCAAGTGATTTTTAAACAGTCCCTGATGCACACACTTGCTTTGTCTTGGTTTGCTAACCCGAAACAGAGAAATCGTTGGTTTTTTTCCCTCGTTGCCCTCAGGCTATACTGGAATCCCCAGAGAAGCAGCTGACCCTGAATGAGATCTACCACTGGTTCATGAGGATGTTCTTCTACTTCCGCCACAACACGGCCACGTGGAAGGTACACTCCCCTCGGGACAGGCCACAGGCTGCAGCAGAGCGTGTCAGGAGTTCGGTAGCAGCAGTAACACACCGGACACTGTGTCCAGTACAGAGCAGCGGGCCGCCCCAGACTGGCAGGCGATTCCTGCGGCCTGCGGCAGCCCCACGCAGCACAGCACAGGAAAATAACAAGTCCACACCCAGAGGCAGCGGCAGACGAGCTGCAGCGACTCAGCACTCTGCAGCCCGGAGCGCTCGTGCTGAGTCACAGATGCTGCGTGTTAAAACATCAAGACGCGATCGTGAAATTACTCTCCATTCATTCTCAATTGTGCCCCACTCGCACTATGACTGTGCATGCGGCACACTGTTTAGAAGGGTTTTGTCTCTTGAAGGGCTGTATTACTAAACTGGCCCTGGCTGAATCATAACACCACTTGTAATCATAGGTGGTTAGCTGATGTTACGATTTGCACTATAGATATGACAGGACATATTACTGCCATCAAGATTAAACACAGGGAACCCCTCTCTCTCTCTTCCCTCCTCCCTGCTTCTCTTCCTTCGCTCCCACATCCTCCCTCGTCCTGCCAGAATGCCGTGCGCCACAACCTGAGCCTGCACAAGTGCTTCGTGCGCGTGGAGGGAGGCAAGGGGGCGGTGTGGACGGTGGACGAGACGGAATTCCAGAGGAGGAAAGGGCAGAAGTTCAGCAGGTGAGGCTCCCTGTTCCACTGGGAGCTGTGCGCCAAGACAACCATGGGGAACGTTGGGACTAAATCCTATTACTACTTACCACAGCCTGGGGAAAATAATTGGGACACACTCGTTAGGAACAATGGTGTGACCTGTCTGAAGCCCAAGTAACACATGGGTCAACAGTTTGTGGTCTTGAGGGCAAATGTAGCTGTGCCTGCACAGGTAGCACACAGAATATCTGTCACATCTGCTACCCTGCTGCAGCAGAGTCACAATAACCACTTCTACTCTTTATATATGAGCATTATTATAAGATAATACAGTAAGATAATATATAAGATAGTAATGCTAATGTTGTCTTATAATCTGAAATGAGTGGGGGAATGATCATTCCCAAGCATGGTCGTTCTAGGTTATAAAATCAAGAATGGCAAAACCTGCTAAGATACGACAGAACAGTGCGACACTGAAATCGGCAGCGAGCACAGGGACAGCCCAGCAGTGACAGAGCACCAGGGTGCGAACTCCAAGTGTAACGGCGCAGGGCCTGAAGCAGACGATCGTGCACGATGTAGGCTTCAGGCGTGAGCAGGCGTGAGCTGGCCCTGCTGTGCCTCCTCTCCAGGACTGACGGGCAGGGGCCTGTGTCTGCTCTCTCCGCAGGGATCACGACGTGAAGTGGGTGGGCCCTTACGCCTACTTCTGCCCGCAGGAAGCGTGGGCTGGCAGCAGCTGAGGCGCACCACTACCTCCGGAGAGCCCTGACCACACACCTGACCCCCTCGAGCCAGTCGCCACGGTTACACGCACGGGCAGCTGTGGAAGTCTGAGACGGGTCCCTCGAGCTTTTCTTTTTCTTATCTCGGAGTGTAACCGCGTGAAAGTGTTTTTGCTGTCAGGACCGAGCCGCGTGGCTGTCCCCTCTCCTCTCCTCTCCCGCGCCGAGGCAAACTGCACACAAGGCGCTGGGGCACATGGTACCACAGGACATCGCCGCCCAGCAGGGTCTTCATCTTTCTTCTGAAAGGAATTCTGGCTTCACGTAGGATATTTCTAGTATCTCTCTCATCCTTTATTGGATCAAACCTACCAAGGTGTTGTGGTTATTTTAACCATGAAATGTAAAGACGGTGTTTCTCAGTGAAGTACTGGCTACTACTGCAGGATGTAAAGGAAATAAAAAAGACAGTCTAAGGATTTCATGTCATTGAGGAAACTGCTGGAAACACAGCGCTTGATGTTTACATCTGTAGATACACAGCAAGCCCTATGGGATTCAAACCAGAGCCCTGAACGCGGTTTATTTTTTTGATGTAAGAGGGCAGCTTCTGTTTGCAGACCGCTGACTCTGCCCGCTTCAGGACCGACACTTGTTCGGTTGTAGGACCTCTGTCAAGGGAGACGTTGTTACACAGCGCTTTGTCTCACTGTGCTTTAATACACGATCCTGATGTATCTTTTTTTTATTATTTTGCTCTAATAAAGGTGTAAATTGAGGACGGCTGTCAAGGAAGAGCTTCCTGCGGTGTGTGTGTGTGTGTGGGGGGGGTTGAGCAGGGGTGCAGGAGGGAGAGAGGAGAACACGGGGCTGTGGGGTGGAGTCTTCCACACGCGAGGGGTTCGGGGTGGGAGCTGGGGTCTGGGGTCTCGCCTCACTGAGCCCCCCACGCCCTCCTCACGGGCCCACACGCTCCCCGTGTCGGCGCCACGCCAGCGCGCGCCCGCGGGAGACAGGGAGAGCGAGCGCGAGGCCGGGAGCCGGGAGGCGCGCGGGAACTGTCCGCGGTGCTGAAGGAGCGCGGGCCGCCTGACGCTCCGCGCGCCGCACGCCGACCTCTCCCACGTCACAGGTGGGATCAGAGGCCATCGGCCACACGGGCTCGGTGCGTCTGTCGCCTCGAACCCGGGTTCGCTAGAACAGGGCGGTGCTGGTGTGACCAATCCCTAGACAGAGGAACAGATCATGTTCCTGAAAGCAACGACAACAAAAACAATATATAAAAACAATAAACAACAACAACAACAATAATAATATAACGCATTACTGTGTAATTATTAAATGCATATGCATGGGTGCGTAAAAAACACAAGCTTGCATTTGGTAGGTTTGCAGTTACATCGATAATAAAGATTAGGGTCAATAAGAAGGCTTTTATCGACAGTGAAATTATCCGTTTAAATATTCAGTGAGTATGTCAATATTGTCCGTTAACCTGAGCGGTTTTTACGAAATCGATTCTATTGACTACCGTTATTGCCTTCCCAACGGAATGTCGATACAGTTCTGTTTTTTGCAAACAAAACTAAAAACAATATCTAGACTTGCGCTAACACGCAAAGAGAAAAGTAACGATTATAAGGAACAATTCACCATCATCACCGCACAGGGCCGGGGGGCCGGTGTGCGGAAGCGGGCTTGGACCCCGAGGACAGTCCGCCGCGGTCAGTTCCGGGCAGAGAGGAGGGTCACCGCTGGTAGAAAATGGCGCGATGCTGCCTCCTAGCGGGGAAGACACGCGTCACTCTGGTCGGGGAGTGGAGCGGAATTTACGCAGCTCCCAGAGCCCTAAACACCTGTAGGAGGAGAGGGGTGTCCCAGCGGCTGAAGCTCTTTTCTCTTTGCTGTTACGAGCGGTTCCCGGCCGGGTCGCCCTGATGACCTGGGGCTGGCGGAGAGCGGCGGGCCCCCGTGTTTTTGCTGTTGCGGCCCGCCTGCATCTCTTTGTCCGGGTTTGGAGTTGGGAGCTGGGACGGACGGACGGACGGACGGGGAACGGTCACGTCGCATCGAGCTTTGTTTTGCACCCGCTTGCTTGGAGGATTATAGCGGGTCAGTGCGGGATTTATAAAGCCCAGATCCTCTCCGTGTGTGGTGATTTTTGATTGTTCGTCTCGCGGTACTATTTTTAATTGGTGTCGTTCAACGGTTCAGATTGAAATCGTGTTTTCGCCTGCTGAAATGTTACTGCTGTTTTGACTGGCGTTGCGGGGACTTTTAAACTTTAAAAAATCAACCAATTGCAATTCCTTCGTCGTGACACGATAAACCATTCCAGTAGGAGCTGTATTGCCCGTCCAGGGCAGCGTTCCGTAGTGACACAGCGAGTGACCCGTGACTGGACACAGAGCCCCGTGCCTGGTCACTCCAGCTGGTGGGGGTGTTTATTGGGGAACCATCAGCTGAGACAGATCTTGTGAAAATATTCAGCGACATGAGATTTCACAACTGCTGCACCACCTATAAGCCTCAGACTCCACACACTGCAGCCCCGTTTCTCATAATCATGCAGCACAGAGGATAAAGGGTTTCTTCAGCTGAATGCTTCCACATATCAGAGCTGAACCTGGAGTCCCCAGCCCGTGTCGTAACAAAACACAAAGCGTTTTTGTTGTTTGTTTTTTGGGAAAAAAAAACAACGACTGGAGTTGGAAATACTGTTTGTTCATTAGAGCTTATAACCCAGATCTTCAGCTTTTATCGTAAACAAGCGTAAAGTAAATGAGACCAGGGATGATTGAATATTGAAACAGCGGAAAGAAGCGGGTCTGTCTGCAGAGCGAACCGCAGAAGAGGGAGACGGGGAGCGAGGAGCGACTGGCTTCAGGAAACACGCTCCGCGAGAGAAGACGGCAGTAGCTCGCACACAAAACCTCAAGTTTCCTCCCCCAGGAAACTTAAAACCTCTGTCCGGGTTTACGATTGGCTGAGTCCTCGTCCCAGCGGCACTCTCCCGAGCCGGAGCTCCTGCCGGCGGAGGAACGGATCGCCAAGGGCAGGGAGCGGCAGTCCTGGATAAAATGGCAGAGCTCTTCGCTAACTTTGCTCTTTGGGGATTGCTGTGGGCGTCTTTCAGCGGCCTGGCCAGAGGGGCGGATTGCCCTGTCGACTGTGGTAAAGAGGTGACGGCTTTTGTTTACCTTATTCAATAGAAACTGGAAGCGTTTCCCACAGGTAGGATTCCGGGTGAAACCCCGGCTGCTAGTTTAAATAACCGAGTACTCTTCCTTCTTAACCTTGTTTTTGTTGTGCTCTTTGAAGAAAAGCTCTACATTCTGTAACGTTGAACACGCTCTGTTTGTGCTGGGAAAATTCCCGAGGTTTCACGGTTAAAAAGCAGCAACGCGCGTCGCCTTGAGCTTCTGTGTTGTAACTGTCCTTACAAGGGCTGTGTGCGCAGGAGCCCTGCTCCCGTGGAAACCCACTGCAGCAAAGCGAGGAGCAGTCTTGTCCAGGGTGTTGTGCCGATTATCCTCAGCCTGACTTTCAAATGAAAGAAAAATTACTTTACCTGAGGTCATCTGAAGTCCCCCTGTTCTTGTGCCCAGAATGCAGTATTAACAGAGTTGTCAGACAGCAGCTGGGGACTTTGGGGAGCTGGGATGAATCAAAGCAGTGATCTGAGGTTCGAGAGGTGGATTCCCGAGCAGGCAGGGAGTCAGGTGGGGTGGAGGGAAGCAGGCAGACACAGCACAGGCTCACAGTCCAGGCAGGCACTGAGTTCAGCACACAGGGGCATCCCCAATCCAGCTCGGGGCTTGCCGGAAAGGTCCGTATCGAGAGAGCACTGTAGCGAAGCAAAAGGGAGGCCCGAGGGCCAAGAATCTGGGAAGAAAGTTGAACAACAGAGCTCAGGAAACTGGGGACATAGCGGTCCAGAGCACTGCTGGCTCAGAGCTCGAGAAGCTCGCTTCACCTGAGATGGGGGAGGACGGAATTACTCACAGGTAACACAAGCTTCCTGTCTTATTGCATATCCATGGCAACCGTCCTCAAGTGACCGGTGGAAGGGGCGTGGCCCACTGGCACAGCAGAGCTGGCTCACTCTAGTGCACCCCCTTCAGGGCGGGCACGACACTGCATTTTAATTCACCCTGATGTTGGAGTCCCAGGTGCTCAGGACTGCTCTGTTTGTTCTCCGCCCCAGGTCTGTGAACCGGACGACGGGCGCAGGACAAGTGGCAGCGGCAAGGTTGTGCAGGTCATCGTGAAGAGTGAGTGCGCTTCGGCAGTTCGGTCGGCGGTCAGTTCTGACCGAGCTCGGCCGCGGCCGGGGGGCTGGGGGGGGCTCTCTGGCAAGGCCTCATGGGAATGCCCGGTGGTGATTGACCCTGACTCAGTCCGCCTGTGCTGGCTGGGGTGTCTCTCGCCAGCAAGCCAGGTCATCAGTCTCCGGCCGTGAACGGTCTGGGTGGTGGTGGGGCTGCCGATAGAAGGATAATTGGCACAAAAGCTCATGAACGGCGAGAGTGAGAGTGTTTAGGCACTGGGCTGTCTCAGTCAAGGTGTGCAGAGTTTCAGCTGCACTTTCATAGTGACTTGCCATATAAACACATTGAGAGAGAAAGGAGCTCTGGAACCCGGGTGCACCATGTATGGATTTAGGGTGAGAGTCCAGAGGGGGTTAGGACTGGGGGTGGGAGGTGTGAATACTTCGTTATCATTGTGCTCTTATTCCCCAAAACCGGGTCTGCATCACAGCCACTGCAAACCGTCATGTGTGCTCCAACACACAACGCTGACGGCCGTGAAACAGACACCTTACTGGAGACAATGGCTCCAGCACTGTCTCCCCTCACTCACTGACCACAGACAGAAGCCCAGTGTTTTAGGGCCCCCTGGCCTCTCGTCGTGGAAGAGCGTGGTGGCTCTCTGCGCCAGGCTCATGTGTTCATCGCTGCCCCCCAAGGCTGCAGCACTCCCTCACCCTGTACCGAAGAAGGCGGGACTAGTGAGCAGTGCCGTGTGGCGATTGGGCCTCCAGAGGATCTCTGTGTGACGAGCACCAGCAGCAGCCAGTGCCCTAGGAAAGAGGCCCTGCTCCTGGGGTGGAAGGCCAGCCCTCTAGGTGAGGCATTGACCACTGCGCCTCAGGGCAGGGTTTGGGGAAGGAAGCACTCGGGAGCTGTGGGCTCCCAATTGGTCTGATTGAGTTGGGCTCTGCTTCCACTGACAGATCTTTCCCATTGCGCACAAGTACTTAGCACTCACGTGTGCTTGTCCCATGCCTTGTTTTACTGTCATGCTTAGCTTACCTGCGTTACCTTGTAATGTCGTTGTTATATCGCTGTAATTGACAAGGCCATAATATGAGTGGCATCAGGGTCTGCTGTCTTTCTTGCTTGTTGTCCAAGGCTGTGTGTATGGTTGTTGTGTGTTTGTTCTCTGCCATCGCAAACCCAGCTCCTGAAGGCTGAATGCAGAGATAGAATAGGGACACGTACAGATAATTCATGCAGAACACCTCCCCAGAGCCTGTTCCCTCTTAGCAGTGCCTGCAGGGATAAGCATTCTTACCTTTCTAATCATCAAGCTTTCTTGCCGAGGGTGCAGATGTGCCAGATTGGAGAAGAAGAGAACGAATGTCCTTCTCTGACATGGAAATTTAGTTTATTGTATGAACGTTGTGAGGGCAGGTCACCTTGTGCCAATCCTTGTGCAACCAGTCTTCAGTGCTTTTTGTGCTTATTCAGAATAGCATTGCTGTGTACTCTGAGTGCCAAGATCGGTGGCCAAACATGCCCAGACTGCCTTCTTTTTCAACATAATGTGAAAAACAAACAGAAATGACAACCTTTTAAAACCTATCAATCTCGCGCAGAGTATAACTTGCTAGACATGTCTGTGTACGTTTGTTTACAGCTTGTTCCACAGATCCGGAGCTCATCAACATGCAGAGCTAGACTCGCTCTGTCCTCACTGTGAATCTTAGTTCTCCTGCAGCTCTGAGGGCTTCTGACACAGCTCTGAAAGGACACCCGAAGGTCTGGTACCGGTGATTGCTTTGTGTCCCAGTACCTCAGGGTTCCTTCCAGGTCTCCCTCATGGATGCTAGCATTCAAAAAGAAGGATGGAATCGAGATCATTGAAATGAAGGTTAAACATGTGACTGAAAACAGAAGGCCAAAAAGAGTAACAAGCGTCTGGACCAACAGCCCAGGCACGCCGTCCAAGTCTCCCACAGCCCTTCAAAGAATTACCTTCACAGATCAATAAGAAACTACCTGAATGACCTCCTCTTTTTAACCTTTCTTTTATTCTTCAAACTCTAACATGGTTGTGCCACACAGTGCCAGACCTTGAAGGCCTTTGGGAAGTTTTTAACTGGTCCCATTGAGCCGACGATCAGCTGACGGGCGATAAGACCGGAGATGGAGTGAAAGCCCACCCGCTGGTGTGCACACCCTCAGATCACCACCCTCTAGATTGGTGACAGCTCTCATCTGATTGTTCAATTAGCTGCATAACTGTCGTACTTGGCACCAGGCTCTAGGAGATTTCTAGGTGTCTGTGCCTTTAATGACGTGACTGTCTTCTGTAGCCAACTGCAAACGACCTTAAGAAAAATCCTGCTATTTCAGAAAATAATGACATTGATTGTCTTCAGTTGACACCTCAGGCGGGAGTAAGGACTGGAAATTGCAAAGCGCTCCAGGGAGATTAGACAGATCAGGTGTCCCTCTGCGGTGATAATGGATCGCAGGCATGTAACTTTTTTGTTATTTTTATTCCTCCAGCTGCGGTTCAGCTGGAGGAATAAAAATAAAAACAGGATTAGGAGTTTCGCAATGCAGAAAAGATGGTCTTGGGCTGACTGCTCTCTCTCTTTGTGTTTTGAGTGCCTCTAATCCTGAGCTGCTGGTTCAGCCGTGGGCAGGGATGTGGGTCCAGTCTGTGCACGCAGCAGACTGAATGTGAAAGGGACAAAGGAGCTTCCCTGCTGACGAGCAGCCATCCAAGAGCCTGGCTTCTGGGGGCTTGAGCTCTTCCTCTTCCAGGCGCTGTCCAGCCAAGTCTAGGGTCTTGCTGGCCCCACCCGTAAGAAAGCAGACATGTCCGAACCAGAAATATGTATTGTTTATCTGAAAGAATGTAAAACTGCAATAAGCTGTGGTTCTAGAAGACCAAAAAAGTTTAAACTGACACACAGGCAAGGTGAATTATTAAGGCAGGCTGAGAACAAGAATGTTGCAGCCTGGTTACTGGTTACAGTCTGCACTGCAGTCAGCTGCTGAATCCAAATCCGGCTTCAAGGTCTGTTTTTGCTCCAGACTCCCACACCTCTTTGTGCAGAGTCCCACCTGCTCTTTGTCTCTGCTCATGTCTCCCTGATCTCTGCCCGGTTGCTCTTCTCTCACCTGGTCCATTCCCTCATTGCAAGGAACCCTTCTCCTTTTCCTATAAAAGACCCTGAAAAGATCCAGCGAATGTTAAAACCAGACTGGCTGTGCAATGTCAAAGTTTTACAGGCGCTTTATAGCACCGCAGCTGGAATAAATTCCAAGCACAAGACACAGACAGACACGGCCCAGGTGGCAGGGATAAAGACATCGACCCCCAGCAGTTCCAATCTGAACTGCAATGCAAACTGAGTTGGTGCAGCTGAAGAATCTATTTGCCCATGCTGAAAACCCCATAATCGAGCAGTCGCTGGGTTTGCGATGAGGCTGTCATGATTTTTCACTGTGTCTTCTCCGTGCTGTTCAGGGAGACAGAATGAAACTGTTGGAAGTACGTGTGCAGAGAAATAAATGTAGCAGAGCCCGTGGAAGATTAAAGCCGCACTTTGTTCCTCCTCTTGCGAGCGGATCTTTAGGCATTGAGTTTCTCAGAGGCTTCTACGTGCGGGTGCACTCGGAGGATGGCAGTGATGTTCAGTGCCAGAGGCTGGCGCTCAGGACAGCGGCGGAGCTGGATGCCGGAGACGCCAGTATGGTGAGATTTTTGGTTTTCTTGTAGCTGCTTGAGTCCCAGCTGCGGTCACTGCCGGAGGGGGCGGCTGTCATGATTCACAGGGAGATCAGACTCCCATTGCACCACAGTTTGATCCTGTACTGTCGCTGTGGCACACAGTCTTTATCCTGAAGGCTCAGCAGAGAAGTCAGAAGTCCAAAATGGTCTGAAATGTGAAACCTTATGTTTTATTTATTAAAACCAATCATCTGAACTGTGAAAGGCCACAGATAACTGTCACTGACAGGTCTTCACATGATGATCACAGTCCCACGCTATTCATTTTTTGACTGAGTACTTTTTGTTCAGCTTTCATGAAGCCATGAAGTTTGGGAAGCAGTAAATTAGTGTAAAACCTGTTAAAGTCTTGAAGCTGCGTCAGTAAAGTAAGTAGAAAAAAATGTTGCCTCTGGTTTACTTAGCAGTCTCCTTCATGCATTGTCAGGGGCTGCTGAGATTGAACGCACAGAACTCACCCGGAAAGCCCTGCTTAGAGGCATGTTTACTCTGTGCTGTTGCAC